CTGTGTCTCTCTCTGTCAAATAAATAAATAAAATCTTAAAAACAAAAAATACTGGCTGTTTGCTTCTTAGAAGAGGAAAGTTAAAAAGAAAAAAAGTCCCAACCAGTTGTCTGCCTTGTGGGAGGAACAAACATCTACCTCTCCTCATCGTACCTCCACCCGCTGTGCACATGTTGGCCCTTCTACCTATACCCGGACAAGGTAACTTCTTGTGATTAATGGTCAGGATCAATGCTATAAATATTACACTTAGAATGTGTTTTATTTTTTGTATATTACAGCACTCATGATCTTTAACAACAAAAGCATTCACTTAAATATACCATCTTTTGTCTACAGATTTACATTGTTTGGACTGGACTTGGAACTCAGGAAAAAAAAATCAAATGATCAGATTCCTCAACAAAGTAATTACGAGAAAATTTAAGAGGGAGAGAGGGAGGGAAACTAGCTGAAAAGTGACTTGCGAAACTTATCAACCAGCTGTAATACATCTTATAATTCACAAATTCCTTATCTGGGAGTCCAGATAAGGAATTTGTAAGGATTGCAAATAAGGAATTTGGGATTCCAGATAAGGGTTCCAGATAAGTGCTAACTCCAGATAAGGATTCCAGATAAGGAATTTGTAAAGTTATATGAGTCAATATGGGAAAACTGAAGACTGGCAGGAGATGGATATTTGATCAGAAGGGAATATTAATTTCTTAGGCAGTAATTTCTTTGGAATTCCCCTTTTTAGGGATATACCCCAAAATATTTACATTTGAAAATAGGATGTCTGGTATTTGCCTCCAAATAACTTGGGGGCAAGGAGGAGGACCGGAAAGGGGTATGGTTAAAACAAGACCAGGTCTGAGCTGATCACTGTTGAAGCTGGAGGCTGGTACAGTGAGCTTTATGATACTATTCTACCTTTTCACACATCTGAAATTTTCTAAAAAAAAAAAAAAAAAAGTTTAAAAGAGAAATGTAAGTTGATTTTAAAATACCCATACATCCCACACTGTTGGGCCTAAGAAGAAACACAATTTCTCAAAATCATATTTTACCTTTATAATACCTTTTTCTGAAAAGATGCAAATACTTTACACTCATGTGGTAGGCTGGGAGCAATGAGGGAAGCCAGATTTGTCACCAGTTTCAGGATGAATGAAAAGACAGAGGCAAGTAAAGGGGTCAGGGGCGGCAAAGGTCAACTGCAAAGACCAGAATCAAGTCTGGTCTCCAGATCTGCACATCCTAAGGCCTCTTTAAAAGGTAATGGTGATATTGCCCTGTGCCCTCAATGGAACCAAAGCTACTCACAGCAAGGTTTTGAAAACTCCCTAAAAGAATCATCACTGTGTTGCCCAAGGTCTCAGAAAATCAGGAAAATAAATCTGACACGGTTCCATCACCTCGTAAGCATATATATTCATTCTTATTCTTTTGCTGATCATCTTTACGGTGATTACGGGTGCAGAAGTAGTGAAGAGGGATTTAGGCTTAATTTCTTCTAGGGTCACTACTTATCAGGTGGATTATCAGAGGAGTGTGTGTGACAGAGGCAAGCGGGAGGGGAAGACAAAGAAAACGGGGAGGGAGAAGAGAGAGGCAGGAACCTATAGGAGCCCAACCACGTCACAGAGCAGGAAAAAGGTCCAGCTCCCGGTCTGAACTTGGGGACCACAAAAACATATTTTGGGGATCATGCACCCAGGTTATTTTCCTACTTTCATCAAGTACATAGGAATAAAAGAAGGGGAACTCTGTTGCTTAAAACCTAAAAGGATGTTTCAGGAAATTTCAAAATGTTTATAACAAGACAAAACTAAGAGAGCGGCTAATATTAATCCTAAATTAACACACTCCTGTGGTGATACAATGTGAACATTAGTGGCAAAGGGGAATTTATATAGTCTTCAAAACCTTAGCTTAACAGGAATGAGTAGAAGAGTGACCTCATTTCTCCCTTTTACTTTTCCTATAGTTTGTTAAATATTTTAGAGACAACATATTATATAGACAATGGTATGAGGAATTTTTGTTAAACTACCTGGAAACCAAGCTCTCTAAGACACATTTCAATATGTTAGCAAGTGTTATCTCTAAATAATCTTTCACATTTCTAAAGCAAGTGCTAAGCTGCAATTTGGATCTATTTTTCAAGCCTTTATTTTCTTCCCTTTTTAGCACTGCTGGTTTGTGTTTCTAACTTACTGATTCATTTCCTTTAAAAGTGTATAAAGCAGATTTTGAAACTATTATCATTGTTATTTACACATCTTATAAATTCTGTCCTTGCTATCCAAAAATACTATCTTTAAATTCTGTGGATTCAGTCCACTTGTCAAGAATAGAAGGTACCCTTACTAGTAGGTTATGATTAACACAGAAATTAATTCACTGAAGATTTTATGGCTATAAATGCTTTAAAAATAAACTTCACACATATTTCTTAGAGAAAACAAGTATTTTTATTTTTTAACCAGGAGAGAAATACTCCAGAATTATTTTGTGTTTATTTTTTTAAATTTTTTTTAAATTAACATAATAATGTATTATTTGTTTCAGGGATACAGGTCTGTGATTCATCAGTCTTACACAATTCACAGCACTCACCACAGCACATACCCTCCCCACTGTCCATCACCCAGCCAGAATTTTTTGTGTTTATGAAACAATATATGTGGCTCAGAGTTGCTTAAAATTGTCAGCATTTTAATAAGCATCATTTTGTAAAACACAGTGAAGTTGGGTCATGTGAGAGTTGTGTGATACAATTTTAAATCTAAATTTAAATCTTTTAATGTAAAAGGTGGTATGCATTGTGTTCAACCTTAAAACAAATACAAAAAAAATTTTGAAACATAAAGAGTGGAGGCTTTTGAATAACAACCAAAACATTCACTACAGGTTTTTCCTAAATATTAAAAACCTGCCCTAAGAGAAGACTCTGAGAACTGAGAAAGAAAAAAAAAATATGTGAAACAGTTTACCATTTCACAGCTCTGAAACTCTAATGGGAAGGTTTCCAAGTACTTACCCCTCTCTTGATATTATCTGATGCACAGAGGACAAAAATAATGCAATTGTTTACCACAAATGTGAAAAATACAACATGTTGACCTTGATAAGCAAACCAACTTGGGGCTTTAGAAATAATGTCTTCCTTGCATTATCAATACAAAGTAACTCAAATAACAGACCTGATATCAATCCCATACTTTCATTTAGTAATCATTATCATGGTTCTACACCCCTTTTGAGTTTTTCAAAGAACTTCTGTATGCATCACCCCATTTAACTTTCACGGGAACCTCCAGAGGGTAGGCAGTTTAGAAATTCACATAGTTCTACAAATGAGCTCATAAAGGAAAAGTATACAAGGTCATATATCCTAAAGCTTGTCAATTACAAATGCTCACCATTCCAACATTAAGAAATTCCAGTCATGTTTCCATATGCAGTTACCTGATTGGTCGATTCTCTTTACTGTCAAAGAGTGAGAAGATGACCTCAAGCTCCTCCCCCAGGTTGGAACACATGAGGCTCTTCATCTGCACAAAGAGGTGGTGATTGCTGGCCTGAACTGGGGTATCTTTCTTCCGATGTCGGTGCTCCATCTGAATAACACCCCCCAACAAAAACATGATCAGCATGGACTGAAGAAAACAATGGGATCCAACAAACTAGTTAGCTATGGTATGATTATGATGTCCTGTGGGATCTTCTTTTTTTTTTCCTGTGGATTTGGCATCTGGTTGGATGTTACATTCCAAATTTTCTTCCAACTTCTAAAATAAGAAACCATGAAGTTTGCAGATTATCAAGGAATCTTGCTTTAAGAATTTGGTTTGTTTTATCTATCTGTCTATCTATCTATCTATCTATCTATCTATCTATCTATCTATCTAATCTATTTATTGGGGGAGAGGTGCGGGAGGGGGAGAGAGAGAGAATCTTAAGCAGGCTCCACGCCCAGCATGGAGCCCAATGTGGGGCTCCATCTCACAACCCTGAGATCATGACCTGAGCTGAAATCAAGAGTCAGATGCTTAACTGACTGAGCCACCCAGGTGCCCCAAGATTTTGGTTTTAAATCATTAATGTTAAAATGATACCACTTGCTGAGTAGATTCAGGCAGCATGATGTTCAAAAGATTCTACTGTTCCCTTATCAACTTCCAGGGTGAGAATAAATTATTAGTTACCTTTAAAAAACCCGACTAAATTTTATCTGGTCATTTCACTGATGGTAGCTGAACAATGCAGCGATGATTTCACATTTTTCATAATTAAACATCCTGTTAAAGCATATTAAATTGCAGAACTGTGGTAGTTTTCTGAGACACACTATGGCAAGTGATATTCAATCATGAGAGCAATAAAATGTTTCTAATTTGCCATGGAGCTACAGGGCAGCAGACTGGGGAAGCCAGTGAGATGGCTAAGCTGAGGAACAGCATCCATGTCCATCTTACTTCTGCCTAGCGTAGGCTACACTTGGGAGGCAGGATCAGAAGTGAGCACTAACACAAGCTGAAGGAGGAAAGGAACCACCGATAGTTCCAGGGTTAAGAGAACATGGGGGTGATCAGTCAGGCAACACACACTTGTTAAGTGTCTCTTATGTGCCAAGCAGTGGGAATGCACTGATGAGCAAAAACAGAAATAGCCCCTACCTTCATGGATCTTATCTACCAGGGGGAGCAGACATCAACAAAATCATTCCACATACAGACGGGAAACGGCAACTGTGACAAATGGAGGGGAAGAACCAGATTATCACGAGGATCTGGAAGGATGTGATCTGACTTGTGTCTGGACAGTCAGAGCAGGTGTCCTGAGAAAGGGACACTTTGGCCAAGAGCCAAAGAGGGAGCAGGACCAATGAACCATCTAGAACAGTGCTTTTTCAACTAGGTGCAGGAAAAAACCAAGTTGTTCTTCCCCCTAATCTACTATAGGCAGATATTTCCATAACAGACAATAAAAATGTCATGGTAATGTTAGAATGTTACGAAGGTTTCTAAACCTTTACTCACCACTTTTGTACTTGGACCAGTTACAAACAGTGCACGGTCCAGCTAGTTCTTGGACCACTTTCAAGAAGTGATTCAGGGTAAGAGCACCGGGAAAACATACACAAGGACTGTGTATTCACAGAACAGGTGCTAAGAATGAGGAGTATTTTTGCTTTCCTAATACAGATTACTAATGGCCACCTCTTTTGGCTCACTAGACAATTAAAAAAAAATTGCTCAGGAATTAATCCCACAGTAATGGGGTAATATCCTTGGCTTAGGGGTAAGGCACATAACCCTGTTTCTACATTAACCATCTTTTTTATGTTTCTTAGTTCAACAATTCCTGACTGAACAAGATTTGAAAGGAAAAAAACACCATCTAAATTTACGGTTTTAATGCAGCAGGATGAGATTACCAGAATTTTTCACGCTTTTATCTTTTAATTTAAACTACTCAAAAGGTAAACAGTTAAAAATGCAATTAAGCAAATGCATCTGTAATCACTGTAAACTCAACAGGTACAATGGACATCTCTCTCCGAAAGTGAAGAGTACACTTTCTTGTAAAGTGCACCTCAGCATTGTGTTATGTGTTAGTGATAATTGCTAGAAAAAGCTTCCTGCAGAGAAATATTCTAACTATAGGGGGCAAAAAAAAAGTGTAATTCTGCCTTGTTTTCTGAGAAGGTCGCTCTATTTTGTGCTTTTAAAATTTCTTTTTTACCAAAGCAAAAGAAGCAGCATACGTTCATAAAACTACATCTCTTTAACTCACAAAGAAGCTTTTTATTTTCTGAAAATGCTAACTTATTACGGATATACTTAAAAGTTTAGGGTAACACAGCATAAAGTACTATGAAGAAATGAATGACTACTAAGGACTAGAGTGGGAAAAACAGGTATAAAAATCTTATTTAAATAAAGGACCTCAAAGAGGCATCTGGTCTTTATTTCAAACAGTGCAAAGTTCCTAGTATCAGTCATGACATTTACTAAAAATGGAGCAAAAAAAAAAAAAAAGGTCCTTTACTCATGCAAGGAATTCAATATATCTAGATCAGTGGTTCTCAACCTTGACTGCACTTTAGAATCACCAGGAGAGCTTTTAAAAAATACTTATGCCCAGGACCTATCCCAGAACAATTAAATTAGAATTTCTAGGGGATGGGGGTCCAGAGAGTGATAGTTTTAAAAGCTCCCCAGGTGATTCTAATGTGCAATGAGGGTTGAGAACTATTGATTGAGATCCTATGCAGAGACATGCAAATCAAAGCTGACTGAAAAATGCATTGTTGCATATTCTGTACAATTACTGCCTTTGAACCTTGAATCTTTGCATGCATGCCTGTCCTAAGCCTGTCTGCTTCTACCCTGATTATGCACATGCGACATGAGTCATCACAAACGGCACCAAAATCTCCCCTTCCCTCACCCACCATTCTTCCAGGTCTGGAAAAGATGTGGACTTAAGTAGGTTATGATGACTTGTTTATCTCTTGTTAACTCACTACGATGGAGAACTGCTAAAAATATCTCTGTGAGGGACGCCTGGGTGGCTCAGTCGGTTAAGCGTCTGCCTTCGGCCCAGGTCATGATGCCAGGGTCCTGGGATTGAGTCCCGCATCGGGCTCCCTGCTCTGCGGGGAGCCTGCTTCTCCCTCTGCCTCTGTCTCTCTCTCTCTCATGAATAAATAAATAAAATCTTTAAAATAAATAAATAAATAAATAAATAAAAAAAATATCTCTGTGAAAATATTATTACAAAAACAAAATCAAAAAGGCATGTTCACACTTCAAGGGCTATAATTTGGTAGTTATAATAAACAGACAAAAATCTATCTGTGAAATAAATTATGGTTACAAAGGCACCTACCAGCCACTCTAAATGTGCTTATAATTTAACGAGACCTTTGATAAGGAAAAGAAACAGATTCATTCTACAGATTTATTGAAGGGAGGCAAATTTTTAATCCTCATATAATGTATAAATTACTGTGTGGATTACCTATACCACAGCTTTTCCACTTCAGCACTACTGATCATTTGGGCTGGATACTTCTTTGTTGTGGGGGCTTTCCTGGGTTTTGTAGGATGTTCAGCAGCTTTCTCTGGCTTCTATACACCAGACCCAGTAGCACCTCTCTCCACCCCCATCCACCCCACCCCCAAGTGTGACAACCAAAAATGTCTCCAGACATTGCCAAATGTCCCCTGCTCTCTGTTTGAGAACCCCTGGTCCACCCACTGAGGATCACAAAGCAAGAAGTTAACATGATCTTATAAAGCCAAGGAAGGCTTATAAAAAGATATTCTGTATGCACAGATAACCAGAGAATCTAGCTAAGGCTCTCTTTATTTATAGGAGGATTGGGATCTGGCCTTTGGCAGAAAACCAAACGTTCCAAGTGGACATATGTTAACACTGCGAGGTTTAGCATGTTTTACTGCTTAGATGAACATAATTAGGTGAGAAAGATCTGCTAACAGGGCTATCCAAAATCTAAAGCAAGACTTTTTTCTTCTTCTAATGATGCAGTATGGATTTAGCAATGTACAAACATCTGTTTCAAATAGGACATGGAGAAGACACAATAAAAACAAACAAACAAACAAGTGGTAACAATCAATCAAACATCCTCTACTGGGGCATGCATGCCATGGCCCTTGATCCGTAAGTGATGATAAACACCAAAACAACAACAACAACGACAACAGCAAGGGATTGAAGGTGGTGCCTGCAAACTCTCCCTGGTGAAGTCAATATAGTCAGTCAGTTTTATTTGCCCAGAGAAAAGGACCAGAGCAATGGACAATCTGATTATTGCTAGGCCAGGGTATAAACAGAAACCTGCCTTGAAGATCCTTTTGAAGGATCCTTTTGATCCTTTTGAAGCTTATAATAATTTGGGTTTTTCTTGGGCTACTGTCTTTGCTTTACAAACAATAAAATACAACCACTACAGGGAGAAATTAAATTTTCATGGAAAATCAGAAATGAAGACTCTGGGCTAGGATTTGAGCTATAAAAATGGAAAACACCCTGGCCTGGCAGTCACTACTCATCAGTGGTAGTCCCCTGCACCAGTGACAGCCATTGCTCATCAATCATAGCCCAGATGAGACCCCAGAATTGTATCAACATGGCGCTCCAGGAGGCCATCACAAACAAATCAGGATGTTGAAAAAGATGAAATCAATTTGGCATCCCATATAGGACATTAGGTGAAAAGAACAAAGATAAAATTGCACACATACAAAATCAAACTAGAAAAACTAAAATATATTTGTGTCAGACACTGTTAGTTGCTTATCAAGTATATGCCATCCCTAGCTAAATACAGGGATGTGACTATGTTCTGGCCAATGAAATATAACTGTAAATGTTGTGTGGAATTTCTAGCAAAGCTCTTAAAGTCTTTGAACTAAGAACCTTTCTTCTTCCTACTGCTGGAGAGCAGATGTAATGGCTAGAGCCCTTGCAGCTGTATCAAACTTGGAAGTATCCTCGATGATGGAAACCATGTACCACTGGGCAGAAAAATAAGAGCCTTATCACTTTCGACACCATGAAACCACACACAAGCCCAGAACTTCCTGACTCCTGGCTTGCATATTGTGAGAAAGAAATAACTTTCTATCATGTCTAAGCTTCTACTATTTATTTCATTGAACACAGCCAGATCTAATCTTAAGATTGAGCATATAAGGTATCAATCACTCTTGCCGCTTGCCTCTCTGATAAAGATGAAGCAAAGGTGAGCAAGGAATGAAAATCAACTGAATGCTTAGGTGCTCTGCAAACATTAACTGCCAAGGAAAGGTCATTTACATGCATTTCTTATTTAATCTTCCTAACAAACATGGTAAGAATTATTTCCTTACTTAACAGAGGAAGAACGTGAAGCTCTGAAAGACTAAGTGATAAGCTCAAGACTACAGACCTGAGAAAAGGGAATTCAAATCTAGTTTTTTGGATCTATAACCATGGTCTTTCCATAATAACATGATGACCTCAAAAACACTGAGTGATTGCTTATTAAGTATAAAGCACTGTACAAGATTACCTTGGGCATGATAGAGGAAGCATAAGACAGTGCCTACCCTGAAGAAACTTCCAACCAAGTGAGATTAAAGAAGTGAGAGACACATTTGATGCTCAATGAGTTAAATAAAGTAACTGCAATAAAGATGCTCCACTAGAGGATGTGACTCGCAAATAAGTTATACAGATTTTACTTGTTATGCAAGCGAAGAATTAGGGATAACTTGAACTTGAAATACTCTTTATTTTGTTTCCTTCCTCCTTCTCTGCCTCCCTCCAACTGACATTTAACTGTGGTTTTGCTATGTGCCAAATATCTACTTAGCAATGATGCCACAAAGGTGTGCCACATGAAACATCACTCTCAAGAAGCTCCATGTGAAGGAAATTCTCTACAAAAAGCAGAATTAATTCCAACTGACAAAATAAGGTGTAGAGAGATAATCTGAACAGATCAGCGACTAAGGAAAAAAACCCAAAGTGGTAGAACTGCTTTCTAAAAATCAGACATAAGCTCTGATGGGCCTAGTGATGATTTTTTTCCCCCACATTTCTCAGATCCAGATCATCTCAGGTCAAGAATTTCCCACTATTCTATGAAGACTATTGTACGCTTTGGAAGAGGCAGCATCTTCCAAAAAGGAGTCTTCTCTTTACCATAGGAGCTGTTCCTTTGAACATTGTAGTAAGACACATGAGAAACCATATCAAAGTAAAATTACACTGGCGTAATGGCCTTTGAAAGCCCTTCCCGGCCACAGTCTTCTTTGATTTGGGGTTTTAAAAGAGCTTAGTTAATAACAAGAAATTAGGTAATTTTTATACAAGTATTAAGATATAAGGCTAGGGGCACCTGGGTGGCTCAGTTGGTTAAGCATCTGCTTTTGGCTCAAGTCATAATCCCAGGGTCCTGGGATCGAGCCCCATGTTGGGCTCCATGCTCAGCGGGGAGTCTGCTTCTCCCTCTCCCTCTTCCTCTGCCTGCCACTCTGCTTACTTGTGCTCTCTCTCTGTCAAATAAATAAATAAAATCTTAAAAAAAAAAAAAAGAATACAAGGCTAAATACAAGGCAGATTGGACCAGATTTAACTGACCATGTAACTTGGAAAAAACTCAAGTCGTAGGTGATGGGCAATACGATCAAATATCTTAGAATTATTAACAGACTTCAGCACTGAGGATGGATTAGGGTCTAGAAGGGGTGGGGTAAGATCAGCAGTTGGAAACAGTGGAGGAGACACTTTCAATGGATTCTGCGGATAGTGGTAATGGGGGCAGGGAGTGGGGATAAAACATGTTGGGGAAGAATGACTGGATATCATTAGCTCCAACACTGTCCTGGAACACAACAGATAAATATGTATGATTTGTAGGCATTTCACTAAACTAACAAAATGTGCAAAGATGTGCAAAAGAACTTAAAACTTCTGTGGATTTACTTCCTAGTATCTAAGACTTGAGAGCACAGTAGAGCACATCATATAATTCTGGAACAGGTAAAGTACCTCAGTTTTTTACTTGGGGCACGGTCACCTCAGCTCTCAATTCTCTTTACTTGCTCCAAATTAAACTTGGAACATCCTGTTCTTACAAAATCAATCAAGTATGAAGAGCACCATAGAAACCACAAAATTAGCAGTGAGGCTGTGAACCAAGATTTCTTGTACCTACCAGTCGGTAGAGCTCCGTAATGCTGATGTCCTCTGGATCTACCATTGCATACTCTTTCCTAGGCACCAGGTCCAGTCCCAGTTGTCTAGAAAACACATGGCAAAAGTTTGGGGAAAAAGCCATCTCTATAGAATATATTAAAGATCACTATTTTTACTGTGTCACCTCGAAATTAGATATGTCGCCCACCATCCTTCTATTTTCTGCCTATAGTAACTGGTTACCACATTTGGAGTAGCCAACATAACTAGGCTGGACACCGGGCCTAACTTGAGAAAAGTGACAAAGGCAGGTAAATCGAGGGGATAGGTAGGCACTGGGGGTGGCATGCCCCTGCCACAGGAGGCCCCAAGAACTATCACCACAGAAACCCTTCCATCGTGGACTCGGGTAGAAACAAGAGCGAGACATACTTTTGTTCTAGAAATCAGAGTTGAGAAGAGGGAGGTTTGGCCTGCAGGCTTTGACGTAGCACTAAAATGCCTAGTTATATCCAGAGCGAACACATTTCTAATGTGAATCTCTGGCAACGTGTGTGTAGTCCTCAGTCTTAGAGAGTTCTGGGGTCAGTCATTAGGAGAAACTTAGGAGAGGCAGGGGACAGAAATTAAGGTAGCACAGTTTTAGGCCTGGCGTGGCGAAACGGTTTAAACTCTTATGTCGGATTGACACGACTGACATGTGGCTTACTGTGCTGAGAAGTGTTCTAAGGTTATACATCCAGCCTCAGTGGGAGCAAGTATGGTGACTGATTTGTGATGTCCTACCACAGACGGAGGAAAATCAGTGTAACTACCACGTCGCCTCTAGTGACCTTGGTGACATCCTCCTCTCCAGGGTGTCCACTTGACTACAATGATAGCAACGTTGTATCGTTCTCTTCATCTCCTGAACCTTCCATGGCCATCCCAAAGGTGTCACGATGTCTTTGTGACACCCTGTAGATCAAGGCCAAGATACTGTTTCTCTCCCAGACTCCCCTCAGTTACCCCATTCCAGGTCTCACTGTAATTCTCTGATGATAATTTTTCTGTGTCCCTTTCACATCCTTTTCTAACATGGAAGCCTTCTGCCATGGCATTTCCAGTTATAAAACCACAGCTTTCTCACTTGTGTATTAAAAAAAAATCCTGAAATTCTGTACCCTCTCCCAAACTTCATTAGAGGTTTCATAAGTAGAACTTATTGATTCAGCACTGACTTCAAGCCAGGCACTGACCGAGCCAGGCTGAGAGACAGCTGTTCTTAAGAAGATTACATGTCTGTGACGTTCTTAATGGCAGTAGTTGTCCTTGACATGAGAAAAGTTTAATTTTCTTCAATTATGTTTCGCTTTGAGAAACTTAAAAATCACACTTCCATTCTCTAATTTTTGTTGAACTTTCAAATCACAAAGAGTGCTGTGATTTGTTCCCCTCCAAGTACCCATGTCTCCCTGTTATGGACTGAATGTGCCCTCCCAAAACCCAATATGGCCAACCCCATCATGACTATATTTGAGGATAGGGACTATAATAAGGTAATACAGGTTACATGAGGTCAAAAGGGTGGGGCCCTAATCCAATAGAACTGGTGTTCTTATAAGAAGAAGAAGAGACCCCAGAGATTTCTCTATCTCCATGCAAGCACAGAGGAAAGGTCATGTGAGGACACAGTAAGAAGGCAGCTGTCTGCAAGCCGGCAAGAGAGCCCTCCGCTGGTACCTTGATCATGGACTTCCAGCCTCCAGAACTGTGAGAAAATAAATGTGTTGTTTAAGCCACCCACTCTATGGTATTTTGTTATGGCAGCCCTAGCAGACTTTTACATCCCCTTGGTCCACCTCACCAGGGATTCCAATAGGGTCTGTTCCTCATTCTTCGTCCCCTCCCCCAAGAGAGAACCACTGCCCTACATTATAAGACATCATTTGACACCAGGTCAATATTGCTGAGGAAAGATTATCAAGCAAAGTAAAGAGGATATATAACCACACATGAATCATGGCATCAACCTTACCCACAGCTCCTTCTATGAGAAGCTGTCCTACCCTGGGAGGCATGAGGAATTACTGAGGCAGTCTAGTCATCTGACCATCTCCCCTTCCCGAGCCACACTTGACTGGCCCACAGATAGGCACACCTGACCTAAGGACATATAATCCATGGACTGGCCAATAACTTATGAGTGGCTGATAGAAAATGCTCAGTCTAAACAGGAATAGTAGATTTTGGCTTTCAATGGGATTCCTTCTTTGAGAACTTGGACACAGAAAGTCAGAGCATCAGCCATATGCCACGAGGAAGAAAAGATACATGAAGGGCAACTGGTCTCTATCTCTGTAGAATGAGTAAAGACCAACTCTAGCTGCACAGGTTCTGGGGCAGATGTGAAGTCCAGAAACCTCCCGGGCTTGGGGCCCCAGGAGCCTTTAACTTGCAAGTCTCTCTCTCTCTCTCTCCTAAAGCTTTAATTGTTCAACTTCTGCTGGCTTCCTGGGTCCTAGGTGTATGAAGAGAGTTTCCTCCGTTTCGATTTTGTTTTGTTAACTCCTAGGTATATCCTTAGGATAACTCTCCCAGTGTTTGAGATTTTCCTAGCTCACAGAACAGGATCGGGGCTGTGCTTTAATATCAGGAAGAAGAAATGAGGTAAAATGAGAAAGGAGAAAATGCTCAGGATACAGGAAACCAGAGCAGGGAGGGGAGGGGCACGTTCTTTATCATTTCAGTCACTGCACTGCTCTGGGACATCAGGAAAGAAGGATGAACAGATTCTCCCTTCTGTATGATCTTAGCAGGAAAAGTCAAAGGACAGCACAGGACTCCATGGGGAACAGAAACAGGTACCATTATTTTAACTCTGTGTGACACCTCCAGGTGAGAATACTTCTTTTCACTGCTCTGTTAAGGAACAAAAAGAATAGCTCCTCCTCCTCTTCCTCCCAAGCTTCCCACACGCAGACAGCTTCTCTTTACTACTCTTTAGCAGTGTGATACACAACTTGAAAGTGAACGTTCTTAATTCATGGCCATCCAGAGATCTACATGCTGACAGATAATTTTGCAGGACAATCTGATCTAGTTTAATACGCAAGAGAATTATCTGAATTTGCTTTCCGTTTAGCACTATTCAATAAGAAAACTGATTTATACTTACAAGAATCCAGTAAATGCACAATCTGTGTGCTGTAAGTTGTTTTTAAGTTAAGGGGTCAAAGAAAACCAAATGAGACCTCAGAAAATTCATGAATTTGAGGATGAGCTATATAAATTATATTGTTCATTTTCACGCATCAGTGTTTTACCAACTTACCATAAATTAGCCACAGAACTGCCCAAAGTACAAGCTAGAACTTACATGAGTCATGATTCAGTCATAATTAATGTTTTTCTCTCTGTCATCATCTTCCTTCCTAAAACTGAAAAAGTATCTTTCTGCCTGCTCTATATTTCTAAGCTATTTTTGATAAGCTACTTCATCCAACTTTCTTCCTATTTACAAACTAGTCTTTAAACAAGGACCAGCATAATGACTAAGAGCCAATATAAATCAGTGAAAACTCAAAGTTTTTATCAAAATGAAAAAGAAACACATGATAGATAGCATGGGTCCCTTTCAAACAGCCTTGAGATCCACCCTGCCTGGCCTGCCTCATCTCACACAGCAAGACTGGAGGCTCAGTGCAAAGGGCTGCCACGTTTTCTTCCTCAGGAAATGCTACTGGACTCATACTGCCCTGGAGCCGAAAGGGCCCGTGGACCTCCTCTAGTTCAATGTACTCCTTCCACAGGTGAAGAAAGTGAAGTCAAGAAGGGCTCAGGAATTCGCCTCATGTCTTAAAAAAGCAGCATTCCTAGTCCAATGTCCTGTTGCCATTCCACACCTATGGTTGTTTTTTTTTTCCCCCACAGGAATCAATCTCGTAGAGGTAAACAATTTAGGGTTACCATACTGCTCATCTGTAAAAGGATGAATGGCGCATCTTACTCAACAAAATAGCAGAAGTACTCAGGGTGAGCATGAGGCTTCAAATGTGTCAGTAGGTCCATGTGCTCCTATCTGAAGATGTCATGTCTCAGCAGAATCAAAAGTGGCTCTGAGAGAGCAACTTCCTGCGGTCAGAGGAAGCAGCGCTCTAGCTTCAAATCGGTTTTTCCAGACTCAATAAGAGGCGAATTTATCTGTGGTGTACGTCCTGCCATTTTCTCCTTTTCTGCCAGCTTTTCTTTTATTCTGTAGCCCTAAGATCCTCTGAAGGTCCAAATAGCCAATGGGGATTTGGAAGAGGAAAGGAAGGGAGGACATGACCATGACATTGAGGGACCTTTTAACTTCCTGCAACAAGCCTAGGATCATAGTCAAAGCGTATTCTAATTTCTCACCCACATATTAATATTCATACTTAGCACAATATCAGCCTTGATCAGAGCTATAAGTGATGAGATTTACTAAAGTGCTTGGCGGTTATTTTAGATTAGTCAGTTTTATTTAAGAGTAAATCTTGGTCTGCTTTTTCCGAGTTCTCCCAAGCAGCTCCTCAAAGGGGCCAATACATACACACAGGTAGAATCGAATCGGGGCAATAATGAATGCCCCACCGGTGCACCTGTTTTAAGACTTTTAATAGGCAGTGTTAGCATCAGTGTCTCCCTCCAGATTACTCTGGTGACATACTACCATGATACGGAAGGGATATATATTAAAAGCAAATACACATGCCAAACCTAAAGCTTATTTTTAAATAAGACCTATTGAGCAAAAGCCATATCCGGTTGATCCCTGTAAACATTTCATATTCTGTGAGCATGTGCATGCTACCTGACCTCACAGGGCACTAGAGAACAAACAACATCCTGGTGCCCTCACCAACCCTAGAGGATACGGTTCTCAGCTCCATCAATGATAGTCTTCCCCTAAGCCGCCACAAGGATAAAACTGAAAAAGCCCCATCTGGTGTGTTCTGGAGATATTACCGTGCACTGGCTCACACCTATGCGGCATCTGTCACCAGGGACCCCCCCACGACTGCGGAGGATGGTACTCACTCATTGCCCCAGTCCAGGCGGGCAGTAATGTGACGCTTCACATCCTTCATCCGGTCGTGGGTCAGATGGCCCACCAGCACCTGCCGCCGCAGATCCAGGATTTCATTCATGATGTGCCACAGTCGGTGGAAGAGATCGCCTTCATTTCTCTGGGAAGTACACAAATGTGGAAGCGGTGGTCAGTCCCCACAGTGAGTGGTGAGGGAACCACACAGGAGAGGGAAGGACAAGTCCAGCTTCCCTCCATGCGCTTGCCACTCTGTGGGCAGACTCTCTGTTAACGGCTCCCTCTCCCCTCGCGCTCTCACATACACCCTCTGCTCTATATGCTTTCATCCAGGCTCACAACACTGCTCTCCAAGGATCCAACTTCACTTCTCAGACTCCCCAGCAGAGAGTCCTCACCACGCCTCCACACCTGCAGCTTACATACTCGGCCTCCTCTTCCACCTCAAATCCTCCTCTCTTTAGCTCCGTCCCAATTCTGTCTTCAAGGCTCCACCTGAATCCACCTCTGTCAGGAATCTTCCTTGACAACTCTCACCCACATTCTTTTTTCTCTTCTCTCAACAGTGGCTGCACATAATTCAGGCCAATTCAACGGATAATACTGTTTTCTCATTATTTCTTGCACGTTAGTCTTAATGCTTTACTGTATTTCCCATCATAAGCTGGGTACACAGAGGGCTCTCAAACTCATTCACTATTGCTATTATCTGGTCACTATTCAGACTTCTATGAACAAACACTGTTTTCTTTCTTACTTGTTAAATATGTGTGTAGATTCAATACTCTCCTGTGAAATTCATCAAGCAAGGCGACTTAATGTAAGGAAGATGTGTTAAACTCCCAGCTTCAAATCCTGCTTTTGCTACTGACTCGTTTTACAGGCTTGGCAAGTGAGTTCTGTCATCTGTGAAACAGACAGTACCTTCCGAAAGGTTGTTTTGTGGATTGGAGATAATGTTTGTGAAGAGAGCAGGACAGCGCAGTGATGAAGAACACAGACTTGGGAGCCTGACCAAGCGATCTGCATTCCAAGTTTGCCATTTACTGGCTAAAAAACCTTCAGCAATTTATTAACCTCTTGGTGCGTATTTTCTTATCTGTAGCATGGATATTATAATAACTACCTGATAGGGTCACTGTCAAGATTGATGAGTTAATATACCAAAACTGTGAGAGTAATGCCTGACCTAGAATAAATATCACCTAAGTGTCGGCTGTTACTAATACTGTTACTGCTACGCGCTTGGCCCAGAACAAGCCTTCTACTAATGTTGTGTCTTTACCAAAAGCTAGCCTGTATCTCTTACCCAGAGACACTGAGGGCAAAACCATTTCTAAGTATCCCTTCATCTTTCTTAACCAGAAGCTATGCTTTTACTTTCTACTAAAATATTAGTAGAGGACATGAACAGTGATATGCAAGGATTGAGATTATCATACATCTGGAGCCCTCTGCTGTGATAAACTGCCAGAAATAGCAAAAGTTCTGTGTGATGGGGAAAGATGCTCGGTCAGAACACTTTTTTTTTTTTTTTTAAATTTTAAAAAGTCATGATATGTCTTCTACTTTATCAAGACTTGGTGACTTGGGAGTGTTTTAATGTTCTGTGTAGATGAGACAAACGTGCTGGCTGAACAGCAAAGCATTCTCCCTGGTCCTCTGAGATATAAATAATTGTGCTCGTGACATTTAAAGCACCTATTGAGCTTGTTCTTCTATCACCTCTCACTCTTTACTCATGTTATATGCTCCCATACAAGTCACTACAGACACACTGTAATGCAATACTCTGGTAATTCACTGCTCAGTGTCTGTGTTCTCCACTGGGTGTAAGCCCCTGACCACAGATGCTGTGTCTCCCTTGGGTAGCCCCAGCACCTGGAGAAGGAGTGGATACCCTGATTTATAGGAGGTCATTTTGTGGATCTTGAGAGGTAGATTCTATTTAAGTCATAGGAAACAATAAGGAAAGATCAAGAAAAACTTGAGGTCAGTGGTCAGTGGAAAGGTCCACAAGAGTTAAAGAAATTACATAAGGAAGATATAAAGTAAGTCAAATCTTATGCAGCAAAATGGAAAGCCAGCTCTGTTTAACTGACTATCCTAGTGTGAAAGTCATCTGCCCTGCTCTTGGGCAGTTGTGTTTTTCTCATGATGTCACCTCTAGTACTTAAGTTGAAGAGAATGCTAAGATGAGAAGGAAGCTGGATCCTTCATAAAAATGAAAATCAGCTGGTCAGCTTTCCTTTTAGGGAAGGGGACGCAGGAATCCTGACATACGGTAGCCCTAACCAGCAAACCTGCCCTCCTGATGGGAAAGTAATACATATCGGGTCTGGGCTGAGAGCTGGTCATAAAATGATGAGTCTTGAAAAAGCGGACTGTAAACACTGGACAGTTATGAAGACTATTTAGAAATATGAAAAATGCTTTTGGTTTAACATTAAATGAAAAGGGTAGGGGTTCGATATTCAACCCTTGGAATAAAACAGTATCTGAAAGTTCCTGCAATATATGGGAAACATCGCAAAAAACTAATTGTATTAGTGTTTTGGAGGATGGGTAAGTTTTCATTTGCCTCAAAACGAAAACAGCATAGGTTTTGAAGCAGCAGATCTACCTTTAGACTCAGGCTTTACCATTTAGCGTGAGACCCTGAATAGGTTATCTTTGCTAAAGATTTGAGAATAAAAACAATTTGGCAGAGCCCCAGGGAAGAAAGTTATAAAATAGCCAGCCAAAGGCCTGCACAGAAGTACTTAGTAAAAGATGGCTGCTGTATTTCTCCTATGCTTTTTGTGGTTATATTACTGGTATTTTATTAAGTGATACTTTAAAGAACATTATTTAGGCTCTTACCAATGATATGAAAAAAAGCAACTAGCATTTCTCAAGTATTTACCATGAGTTTCTAAGCTAAATGTTCTACTTATACTAAGTATATCTCATAAACTGCTTACAATTTACAAGATACTACTATCCTTATCAAACATCTGCCAGTGGAGAAGCCAGGCACCTTAAAACCACTGGAAAAGAACAAGGATGAACGTGAATCAAAACACCGGGCTCGAAACACCTGTATGAGGAAAAGAGAACCCAGAAGGCCCAATACAGCCAAGGCAGCCTCATTCTCAAGGTCGAAAATCTGTTATCTCCAGGTTCAACTTCATATTTGTCCCTAACATAACTGACTACCATGTCAGTATCCAGGGGAACTTTTAAATAATTCTCTCTCTGTGTCCATTATTCAGGACATCAGGAGGTGGAAAAGTTACTCCTAGAGCTTACAACACATAGATTTTCAAGCCAATCAAGTATGTCCCCAGAAGAGATGTTCACAACCTGAAAAGCAGGTAAAAATAGCTAGGTAAGGCAGAATCAAGAGGAAATTCAACTTTGTTCCCCACAAGCTGCCACATAAAAGGCAAAGTGCTGGTGCTCTAGCTCAACTAATGGATGACACTTACACTGCCATTATTTTCATAACTCTTCTGTTGGGTATTTAAGATGCAATGATGTGAACATTTCCAATAGTTTCATTTCCACGTTAATATTATGCACAATGTTATTTTAAGTGAAATAAGACTCGGATTTTATATTCTTCCTAATATAATTTTTTTTCAAAAATCTGAAAAGGAGATCTGCATTTGCTTTGTAGCCTCTCAGCACAGACCCCTTGAGTTCAGTTATCTTGACTTTGCATTTATCTCATTCCAGCAAAGCTCAGCCTGGCATTTCATCTAAGACTGTCTTGTGGATTTTAGTAGTGAGTCCTAAAGCCACCAGCTCCAGGAGGGCATGGTCAGAGAAATCCAACATCAAAAGGGTTTTATTTTTAAGATTTTCCTTGCCTCAATGAAATATCCTATTGCATTTCATATGTAACAGACAACGAAAACTGTCATTCTGTGCCAATGTCCTTCACTAATTTGGATTTTCTCTTTGACAAGCTGTTTCAAATCGTTTTGTCAGGCTAAGTACACCTTTGTATCTTGAACGCATCCTTTCAAATGATTAAGCTGTTCTATAAATGTCTTCGAAAATAAAAGGAAAAATAGCATTCATCTTCCTCCAAACTTCACCACCCCCAAATTTGTGCATATTCAGAAATCCAAAGCGAGGCCACTAGATTCACACCAGAATCCCAGCCCAGCCATTTTCCAACTGCGTGGGCGACAGCAAGTCCCTCACTCTGCCCCGTGTTCCTCATTCGTAAGCTGGGGATGTTCATGGTCATCATTTCCTTGAGTGGTTGTATGGAGTCGATGAAACACTGCATATGGAGTACTTCCCCAGGGTTTGCGACATAGTAAGCTCTCAATAAGTATAATTTGTTATAATAGGTAAATAAGTACATAAAAACATACTCCCCAAACATTAACCTGACCCCCTCCCCCCCTTTTTTTTTTTTAAGAAACATTCCTTTCTCTTGTATATTTAAAATATTCTTGTTCATTTGGCCTAAGGAGTCTATCATTTTCAGTATATTTGAATCATTTACAGAAAATTAGAATAAAATACCACCAATACTCCAATTGCACTGAAAATAAATTTCTTTCTCCTTGAAAATTAAAAATACTCAGAAAGGGGCGCCTGGGTGGCTCAGATGGTTAAGTGTCTGCCTTCGGCT